TTGTAAGTAAAATCGTGAATAAAGTAATGTATTCTAGGGAATCCTGGGTGGCCCAAGGCGGTTAAGCCTCTGAGTCTTGATCTTGGCTAAGGTGATTTCATGGTTTGAGGTTCAGCCCCAATCAGGCTGTGCACTAATGACGTGAAGCCTGCTTGGGATTCAGTCTTCCCTTCCCTGTCCCCTCCCCTTCTTGTGCTGGAAGTCTCTCTCTCTCAAAATAAATTAATTAAAATAAAGTAAGAAAAAATGTAATCTATCTAGTAAAAAATAATAAATTACAGGCATAAAATGAAACCTTTCATAATTATCATATAAGCAGCTTGTTATTAACAATTATGTTGTTAATGGTTCCAGCAATAAGGCCAGAGACTTAGCAGTAATATAACAGTTTTCCCTGTAATAATGAAGAAACACTTGAAATTATCTTTGAATGTGTATCTTTCAATATGAGACATTATAGTTTCCCAATTTATCTGGGTGCGGAGTTTGAAGACTGTTGCACAAAGACAGTTTAAAGGTTAGAAGTTCCTTCAAGAAACAGGGGTAAGGGAAATTTTTTCTGAATTGTAATGCAACTGACCACAGGCGAAGCTGTAGGGAAAGCTAGGATTTAGGGAATGCAGACATTGCAGATCAAGTGGTGAACATTGTGTCTTGTGTCCTAGGAGAAATGTTGATGTCTTGACAGATGAAATACTCAAGGAAATCCACTAGCATGTTTAAGTATTTTCAGTTATAATTGTAATAGTGAACTGCCTGGGACAGAAGAAAATGCAGGTGGATGTGTCAGCTGATACACATAAAAAGAAAGCTGGTGGTAGTCAATAATGAATAGACATTTCCAGGCTGAGGAACTGAAATGGATAGATGTGCTGAAGTTCACTTGGTCTATATTGAGCTTTGATGTCAATTGACTCTTTTGAAAAGAAACAGGTTACAAGGATAGTCTTTGCCAGTCTCAATTTTCTTAAAAATGTTAGTTTATTGATTTTGAGAGAGAGAGAATGGGAGACTGAGAGAGAGAGAGAGAGAGAGAGAGAGAGAGCAAGTGAGAACCAGGGAGGGGCAGAGAGAGAGGGACAAAGAGAATCCCAAACAGGCTCTGTGCTGTCAGAGCAGAGCCTGATGTGCGGCTTGATCTCACAAACCCTGATCTCATAAACAAAATCAAGAGACCCTCAACCAACTGAGTCACCCAGTCTCATGTCAATTTCTTAGTTCAGCCTGAACAACCGGAAAGGGACAGGAATTCTGACACCCCCAAAAGGGGATAGGACATTCTTGCTCCATGGGAGTTTCAGGAGCCAACCCATTCATCACCCTGTTTCCCATTTCTGAGCATCTAGAGGTCAGTCAAGTGTTAAAAAGTAAATATACATAGACTTTGTGAAATGGAAAGAAGACCCAGCAGTGCCTTCAACTGTCTCTCTTTTGACCTTGTCTATACTTTCTAACTGATTCCATTCTTTTCTCCAGGTCAGCATTTAGCTCAGGAAGAAGCCCCAGCAGGCAAAGCATCCCAGGATGGGGAAGGAAACTACCCCCTCCAGCAATAGGGACTGCCCTGAGCCAGCAGGACCCTACCTCCCTGACAGCAATGCAATGATTGGCCTGGCCTTCACCACCTGCATGTACCACCACCCTTCATCCTACATTTTCTTTATATAAACCTGGAAGGATTTTCAGCAGGTTGGGGACAGTGTTTGAGATGTTAGTTACCTGCCTTCTCAGTGTTGGCCTCCGTGAAGAAAATCTTGTTTTATCACCATTCATCTTGCCGGTGTTCTTGCTGGCTCCGGGGGTCCCACACAGACCAGATTTGGCCACTTGCCACTGACAAAATCCAAAGGCAGAGAGATGAGAGGTGGTGAAACATGAGAGGAAGTTACTTCAGGGAGGCTGACACTGCAAAGATGGCTGAATAACGTCTCAAGGACTGTCTCCAAAGTGCTGGATACACTTCCAGGTGTATGGAAGGGAAAAGGGGAGAGGTGGGTGGAGGGGCAAAAGGAGTCAGGACCTGCAGGTAGACTGTGAAGTCTGTCATTGTCCTGGAGTCAATCCAGGGTGGGGTCTTTCTGGCTCTGGGCAGTCCTTGAGGTTTAAGGGATAGTTCCAGTTCCCCTGAGGGATACTTTGTCCTCAGAGTCTTCCTCCTGAGCCAGGAAACAAGCTGGAAGGAACCCAGTGAGGAAGTTTGAGGTCAAAATTGAGGCAGCAAAAGTCCTCTGTCTTGCCCTTGGATTTGGTCAGCCATGAGTGGCAGAACTGGGTCTGTCTGGGGCCACTGGAACCAGGTGCTCCTGTACCCTTGGGTCCTGCTTACAAAGTCATTACCACAATCTATCCAATAAACATATCCCTCATCTCTCATAGTTAAGATTGTGTGTGTACGTGTGTGTGCCAAGAACACTTCCAATAGCCTCTCTTAGCAAATCTTAAGCGTATAATACAGTAGTATTAACCATACTCACCGAGCTGTAAACATTCACTGCTTACACATCCTGCGTTATTAGTGCTTTTTGCCACTTGACCAACATCTAAACATTTCCCCCATCCTCAGCCCCTGGCAACAAACATGCTAATCTTTAATAATTTGCCTTTTTTAAGATTTGCATGTATGTGATTTCATACAGTATATATTTTTCTGTGTGTGGCTTATTTAACTTAACAAAATATCTTCTAGCAACCTGTAAGTTGCTGGCAATGGAAAAATGTCCTTCTTTTCTGAGGCTGATACATATACCAAGAATAAATTAGATGAAGGACCTCTACTAGGAAGGAGTTAATAGCAGAGACGAACCTTTAATTTTTATTTATTGTAAATTTTATTGATTTATTTTGAGAGAGAGAGAGAGAGAGAAACAGAACGAGCAGGGTTGGAGCAGATAGGGAGACGGGATCTGAAGTGGGCCCTGTGCTGACAGCAGAGAGCCCGATGTGGGGCTCAAACTAACCAACTGTGAGTTCAGGATCGAAGCCAAGGAGGGACACTTAACTGACTGAGCCATTCAGGTGACCCCTGCGATGAACATTTTATAGAGTTATCTGCCTGGCAGGGCAAACATATGTTTGATAAACATTTGCTCTTTCCTTTCTCTTTGAATGCACTTCCTACTTTTTGAGATGTAAATCCCTATCCCCTCCTCCTTAATTCAAAATGGTATATAAGTATCAACTGCCTGACTTTGAGTCTCATCATCTTTAAGCTTCTCATAACTAAGATGTTATTTTTTTTTTTTTTTTGTCTTGTGACCGTGCCTTATATCAGTTTAATTGATAGGCTGGCCAAAGAATAGAGAACAGATGAAGGAAAATGTTTTATTCTTGTACACATTCATTCTGCTGTTAAAAACGACCTCTGTTCTTCAGAGCTAAAATATAATGGGAAGACAGAGTTTGGGCAAAAGAGGAATAATAGCTTTATTGTTTTGTCAGGCAGAAGAGGCTGAAGTAGGTTAAAGCCTTCAACCTTGCAAGCCCACCCAGAAGAGGCTGGGGTGGGGGGTGTTTATAGGGAAATACATGATCCATAGATTTTGACAGGAATTGTGTTTGTGTTGCCAGCCTTTGTCATCATATTTCCAGTGTGGGCCTTGGTTCCTTAAAGAAAAAAAAAAGGGGGGGCGGGGCGTAAGAAGGGATAAGGAGGGGTTTCTCCAAGAGAAAAAAAAGTTACTTAGTTTAATAGCAAGGCTTGCTGTTGGTTTCATGCCACCATTTTGATTTGTTCAACTTGATGTTTTAAGGGGCTTCACTTTCAGGCAGCAGGACAACTGAAGTTAGACCACTTCATATTTTACTGTGACAAACCAGTCAATATTTTCTAGGATGGCTACAATAAAGACAACAGGATAACACCAAATTTCAGTGAAAATAATGAAAAATTAGAAATCTCATAGCTGTAAGGAGTTAGAAAATACATTCACTTGGGAAAACTGTTTGGCAGCGACTTGCAAAAATAAGCTTTGCTACTGAAGGGGAGGGTTTTATCCTTCCAAAATGTGTCTCTTTGGCCTAAGGATTACTTTAAAGGAACAGACAAAGGAAAAGCTGTGGACCCAATAGAGGTTTGCTTTTGAAAGAGCCATTTGCTTTTATAAAGGAAAGCTTCATTTGTGAGGGTGCCTCCCTCTTCTGCAGGGGAAAGAGGAAGAATGTGTAAATCTCCAGAAACTCTGGTCAGTGGAGAAGGCATGGATTTAAATCTGGACAACGACCATAGCCATGATACTCTTTTTTGTCTTGTCACCTCCCCAAAACCTTCCCAATAGGATCAACTTGTGGAATTTCAAAAAATGATCAGATCCGGTGCCCTCCCCCTCAGATTCTGTCCATTGGGGTTTGTTGAAACAATGATGATGTTTTAGTTAAGTGCTCCAGGTGATTCTAAGTGAAGCCAGGAAGAAGCACGAAGATTTCCCATTAATTTAAGAGAGGTGAGTGCAGGCTTTGACTCTAGGAGAGGTACCAGGGTCTGCTCTATGGGAGTTGCAGAGGATCAGGTCCATGTAACAAAGTGTGCCAATGCTGTAGCAGCATTTGTGGGGGTCTGTGGGAGGAGAAGTCCTGTGACAACAAGGAAGGAAAATTCAGAGATTATTCTCCAAGTTGGAGCTCAAAGGTTTTGAATAGCTCCTGATACAAAGAACTAGGAGGTTGGGCCTTTTCTGCATTACAAAGTCCTGCCTGCAGGCGATCAGTTTACAGGTGGAGAGGCTGTGTTCCTGGCTTGGAAGACATTTTCTCCTGATACAGCTGTGAGATCTCCAGCAAAATCTTCGGAGAAGAAATCTAGGGGACCAGATGAAAGAAGAAATGGCCAGTTCACAGGTAAACTGTGCATCCGAGGTCAGAGCCCGTGCCCTCTTTTTCTCTTGAAAGTCCATGCTAACTGAAATTGCAAGTGTTGGTTTTTCTAGTTCTGAGATTTCTGCTTTATTTTTTCACCTAATTTTTAACCTTTTCCGATGATACTCAAGGTTAGGTTTGTAGAACACTCTTCCATTGCATCGCTGAGCCTTCTCCCCCTTCTCCAACTCCAAATTAAAGTTATGCAAGTATTGAAAATATTCCCTTTGTGAACCAACTACAGGGGAAGGCGTTGAGTCCAAGATTCCTATTGCTGATGGGTCTGGTCCTGGGTTAGCACTCAAGGAAAATAATTCCCATTAGGTCAGATCTGGATGCTTTATCACCTCTCTGGAGACCAGGAGGAAGAAAGTGCACAAATACACAGGATGGATATGAGGCCCGGGTTAACTCCAAAGTTGTCTGATAAAAAGAAGACTTTTGCTCTTTAGAATGTAAAAAAGATACCCCATTTTCAGTTTATTTCATTACAATTGATTTCATTATTGCTGATATGAAATGCTTTAACTTGGCTTTGTGCTCTCTACTAGATTTCTCCTCTATAACGTGCAAATTTCCCTTCTCACTTGTAAAGGTTTTAGGTAGATTTCCTGAGTGGTGTTCAGAAACCATCCCATTTCAACTAGAAACCTCTTTCTTCTGAGTTTCTCTTTGCCTGTAGTTCTGATGAAAGGAACAGAGGCGAAAGAAATGTCGATAGGATTAAATTTTCTTACAGCTTGCCATCCATTGATAAACACTAGATATAGGCAGAGTATGACATTGCTCAAGGAATTCACAATTGCCTTCATGTGAATGCTTTGCTAGAGGCAAAAGGGAAGCTTAGCTTGAGGAGAGGCAGACTGCCAGTATTCTGTATGTCTTCTTGACTATCTGGAAATGCTTTAGAAACTTCTTTTATCTCTATGCCTCCAACTTAAAGCATATCATCAGTGTCTCCTCACAATCCTACTGCAGCCCTTGGTGCCACAATTCCTCTCTCTGTGCTTTCATGAAAACAGCTTTTTTGACCAAAGAGGGCTCCAGAATCCTTTCTTGACCCCTTCTCCCAACCCACATCCCAGCAGTTTCCACTGGACAATGAAGGCCCTCACCTTTGTGTAGTAGAGATATTGACTTCTGGGAATGGAGGTTCTAAATCACTCAGACCTCCATCCTGTAGATTGTTAGTTTACTCCACACTCTTGATGCAAATCTATTCATCTATTTACTTTGTATTTTCAGAACAAGAAAAGAAGAATCCCATAGTTTACATGCTTGCACCTTAGAATACTGAAGTAGAATAGAGCAGAAATGAGGATTGAAACAAAAGCTTTTAGTGCAACAGCATATGGTGAGATCATCAAGCACAATGGTCAAGAAACTATTCTTCAGATGTTGGATGATGCAAGATAGTTTATTGGAGTAGCACAGAGACTGGACCTGTGGGCAGAGAGAGCCATACGGTGGCTTCATGAAGCTTATATGTCTTGGGGAGGAGGGTACATGCACGCAGTATAAGATCACAAATGTTCCTTTGAATTTTTTTTTAAGTTTATTTACTTATTTTGAGAAGGAGATAGTGCACGTGAGGGGGGAATAGGGAAAAATGGGGAGAGAAAGAGAATCCCAAGCAGACTCCACACTGTAGCAGCACGGAGCTCTATTCAGGGTTCAACTCAAACTGTGAGATCATGACCTGAGCCAGAACCACGAGCTGGAGGCTTAACCCATTGAACCACTCAGGTCCCCTTTCCTTTGAATTTCTAATTGTAACACTGCTTCTGCAGGATTTCTCTGGTGATTACCGATCACTTCAATGTTAGTTATTGAGGACATGTATAGGCAGTCAGGAGACCCCTTCAGAATGTAGCAAGCAGCAGTTACTGGATGCTTATTAAAACCATGCAGGCTGTAAGTCAATCTTCTGGGCTAAAGGTGAACATTTTTCTCTTTGTATCCCTCATCATACTAGACTCAAATAATAGCTGTCTATGTATATCATTCAACGTGTTTGTGTGAATAAAAGACCTAAGCATCAGTATCCAAAACTAGGTTTATGAGTTTAATGTCACTGAAAATGTTTCTTAGTTACCATGACCATTTTCTACTTTTCACTTTTTTTTTTTTTTT